AATATTTCTTTGAATTGGACATAACTGAACATAAGATGGCAAGAATAAGTTTAAGCTCATTCCTTGTATATATATGTAGATTGCATGGACAGTGAAGACCCAACTCTTCCTATATCATTACCATCGTCAGCACAAATTGCAAGCAATGAAGATGAATGGATCAAAACTCTCTATCCTTGCATCTTTTTTTTCGGTCCTCCTTTTCCTTTCCGTGAGTCCACTCTATTCAATCTCTTGTCCTGAAACTGAAAAACAATCACTGTTAAGCTTCAAGCAATCTCTAAATGACTTCTCAAACGTGTTGTCTTCTTGGGATGCTAAATTTGATTGTTGCACGTGGAAAGGTGTTGTTTGCTGCAATTTAACTGGCCGAGTTCTTCAACTCCATCTCCGAGGTAACTATTTAGGTGGCAAACTAAACTCATCTTTGCTCAACTTGAAGCATTTGAAATATCTTGACGTGAGCCAAAACAACTTTGAGGAAGAAATCCCACTTTTCGTTGGATTGCTCACAAGCCTCGAGTACTTGAATTTGGAATCCGCTGGATTTTATGGAAAAATTCCACACAATATTGGAAATCTTTCAAATTTGCACTCTCTAATTTTGGGTAATTCACTATTGGATGGTGATAGTCTGGAATGGGTGTCCGGACTTACCCAACTAGAGCACCTCAACATGAATGGTGTGAACCTCAGTCGAGCAACCAACTGGGCACAACAGGTGATCAACAAACTTCCTTCTTTAGTCGAGCTGCAAATGAGTTCTTGTAGTCTTAGTTTTCTTGCTGTGAATGATGTTAACAATATCAGCCGTTCTAATTTAGCTATTATTGATCTCTCTTTGAACAACAACGATTTTCAATCTAATTATGCCAACATCCCACAATGGATTTTTCAACTCAGCAACCTTATCAGTCTTGATATGAGTTTGAACTCATTCCACGGCCCAATTCCAACAATGAGCAACACCACAAAACTCCGCCACATTAATCTCTCCTATAACAATTTAAATTCAAGCATTCCACAATGGCTATACTCCTGCAAACACCTCATGTTCCTCGATTTAAGTCAAAATGAACTTTCCGGAAATATATCAAGAGAAATTGCAAACCTGTGCAATATTCAGAGTTTGATGTTGTCGGGTAATAATTTGGGTGGTGAGATAACAAATTTATTTGGAAACATGTCTGATTGCTTCTTACGAGCTTTGATATCTTTAGATTTGTCAGAGAATCAAATCTACGGTCGTCTGCCTCATCAATTTGGAGAATTTAGGAGTCTCCAAACCCTCTATCTTAGTTACAACTCATTGTCCGGTGTAATTCCAAACGAAATAGGGAACTTGATTTCCCTTGAAAGGTTATACTTGAATAATAATAAACTGATGGGGAATTTGCCAGAGAGTATTGGGAAACTTGTGAACTTGAAAGATCTTTGTATAGGGCATAACATGTTGGAAGGGGTTGTGACTGAAACCCACTTTGCCAATCTCTCAAATTTAGGTTACTTGTATGCCTCTGGAAACTACTTGACTTTGAAAGTCAACCCCAATTGGATCCCATCATTCAAACTAGAAATGCTTTACCTACGTTCTTGGGACTTGGGATCTCGAATCCCATTATGGCTTGGGACTCAGAAAGAGAGTATCGTCGACCTTGATTTATCGTGTACTGGAATATATGGAAACGTTCCCAGCTGGTTATGGAGTTTGAGTTTTGGATATCTTAATCTTTCGCATAACCAACTCGTTGGAAATATTTTATCCATTAGTGATCATGGGCATGATTATAGTTTTTTTGACTTGAGTTCCAACAGGTTTAGTGGTCCACTGCCTCGAATTGGAACAAATGTGGGTTGCCTTGATCTCTCCCATAACTCATTCTCGGGACATCTGTCAAAATTTCTTTGCAGCACATCAACCCATAGTAGACTGGAAATTCTTAATCTCGGTGAAAATTACCTGTCTGGTGAGTTACCCGATTGTTTCTTGAAATTGAAATCATTGATAACATTGAACTTGGGCAACAATGAATTATCCGGAAGAATACCAGATTCCATAGGATTTCTAGCAAGTTTAGAGTTCTTGAATCTATACAGCAACAATTTCTCTGGCCACATACCTTCTTCACTGCAGAACTGCATGGAACTAAGGAAGATCGACTTTTCTGATAACAATCTTGGCGGGAACATACCAAAATGGATTAACACAAGATTTTTCCGACTGGCAGTTCTCATTTTGCGCTCAAACAATTTCAGTGGAGAAATCACCCCATCCATATGCCAGCTAACATCTCTACAAATCTTGGATCTCTCTCATAATAGGCTTTCCGGGGGAATACCTACCTGCCTCAACAACCTTACTGCAATTACCACAAAAAGATTTTTAACACATCTTTTTGATATGGATGGTTTTTCTGATAGTGCATCAATTGCAACAAAAGGAAGAGAACTCACCTACAGTAATACTCTTTCTTTGGTTACCAGTATTGACCTTTCAAACAACATATTGTCTGGTGACATCCCAAGAGAGGTAACAAGTCTGGTGGAACTCAGAATATTGAACCTGTCGCGAAATCATTTAACAGGATCCATCCCAGACAACATTGGAAACATGAAGCAACTCGAATCTCTTGATTTCTCAATGAACTCATTATCGGGTGAGATTCCAAGTAGCATCACGACCATGTCTTTTTTGAGTAGCTTCAATTTGTCATATAACCACTTGACTGGAAGAATCCCAGAAAGCACCCAGATTCGAGGATTGAATGAGTCGAGTTTCATCGGCAACAATCTCTGTGGCCCTCCACTTACAATATCTTGCGGAAATGACGATAAAGCCCTTGCTCCATTGCATGCAGAGAATCTTGTACGCAAAGGCAATAAACGAGATATTGATTGGTTTTACGTATTCCTATCTTTAGGGTACGCTGTCGGGCTTTCGGCTGTCCTCACGACATTGTATTTTAAGAAGAAATGGAGTGAATCGTGTTATGCTCTCTTTCACAAGTTATGGGACAGTGTTTATGTGTATTTTCTTATCAAGTGGAGAAGGCTCACAAGAGTGTTGGACTGAAATTTTGTGAAGGTATTCTGATGTTCTGTTCCAGCATGGATGTGTTTAGTATTAAGGTGTTGGATTTATTATGTATGTTTGATTGTTGCTTGTTGTATGAGTTTTTAAAAACTACTTTATTATTATTTATCATATATGACTTTTGCTTGCTTGATGAAATCAGTGATGGCAATATTTATATGGATTCATGGCTCTTATAGATTATGTGCAAACCAGCAAGCAAGTTATAAAACCTTGTTCTTCTTTTTTTTTTAGCCCCCTTATTAATATCATCATTGTCTTATGTATATTGATTTTTTTTATGACCATAATAAACTTATTGAATATATCCATCCACGCACCAAGTATCTAACAGTAACAGGGCATGCATCAAGTTGGGATTAGATATGGATGAGCAGGCCTCCCCTTTTGAGATTACACAGAAAAGCCCCAAATTTCCGCAAACAGTAGACCCTCTCATTTTTCTTTCATTTTCTCGTCCCAGGCTTCTCCGTCGGTTTTCAGCTCCCAGCGATGCCGGTCAGCATCTGATTTGGCCTGGGTCGTCGATGTAGTTCCGGATGTTTTCCGTCTCTCTCTCTCTCCGCGCTGTGGATTTCAACCTTTTCCAGTTTGCCAGGGTGGGATTTTAGTTATGGAAGCACCGGAGTTTTTTTGGGTCGGCAGGCCGGTGACGGCTTGCGGCTGTCGGGGCGGTGGACTGCATCTTGGCTCCCCCTTATTCGGCCTTTCTGGTGTTGGGAAGGATGTTTGTGTTTATGTAGCTTTGTGTTGTGTTTCTTTTCTCCCGTATGAGAGTTTTCTTTCTCTACTTGTGGGAGTCTTGCTGTTGGGGATAAATGAAGTATTGGCTTTTTTAGTTACTACTAGTAAAGTGCACGTGATACACGATTCATATTTTCTTTTGTGGTTTTAATTTATATTTGATTTTTATTTTATATGGTTTATAATTATATGGATTATTATTTTTAAACATTCAAACAAAAACAAGTACATTGCATAATGAATTGTGTCATATGTATCAAAAGTTCAAACATAATTTTTAAATAATGATAATATTTAAAAGTCATTATTAAAAAGAAGAGTACATAAAAAAAAAAATTGATGTACAAATGCTTTGTATAATTGTATCTAACTTTTGTGGTTTCGAGATCAATAAAATCAAGATTAGCAAAACTTAAATCAGTCCATACAAATGAAAATCACTGACCACAGAGGTTCTCAGACTTCCAGATCAAAATGCAAAAAAATAAAATAAATAAATAAAATCAAAAAGAAAGAAGACCAAAAAGAATGAATGATATAATTTCTGTTATATATAAATAAATATTAAAACATTCTGATAAAAAAATATTTCATTACCTTTTATATATAGATGATATGTTGATTAAATTAAGAATTATATGCTATCATAACAAATCTCAACCATCTGAGAACCTGGGGTTAAGTTAAGCCTTATAACAACAGTACCATACATTAATTAAGAACACACACAAAAAAGTTTTACTTCTCAATCAAACAAACATACAGAAGAAGACTGTGAGACAGCCTTCTAATCTTCGTGGTAAAGGTACAAGCCAAGACCAAATCGAGCACAGGCTCGGCAAAACGCAACTTCCTCTGCTGCAGCTACAGGATCCGCGATATTGCTGTCGCCAGGTGTCACTGTACCAGTTGATTCACGATGTGCCTGCATTTTACGCCAAGAAGCGCAATGAATAATTCGTTTATGAAAATGACTTCAACATATAATCTTGAGGTCCTCAATAAATTAATGGAATAATGAACAATCTTTGTGAAAATGTATTATGCTCTAAGGCACTGTAATGGCAAGATTCAAGTGTAATTGAGGGCTAAATTAAGATGAAAAGAAAACATACCTCCCCATCCGAACCTCGTACTGTCACTCGATACACAACAGTCACACTTCCATTATCCGAGAAAATAACATCTCGAATTTCTCCACACCAACCTACAGAAAAGGAAACATTACCAATTCAACATCAACTAAAGGTTGCTCTTTCTCGACCTCAACTTAGAAAATAATCTGTTTATATTCTACTGAATCAAATATATATATATATATATATATATATATATTAACTCTTTAAATACTGATAAACATCATCAGAAGAAAACATGACCGGACAAGCACACGATTCGGCAGCTTTTCGTAAGACCAACAAACATTCATGATCATTAGCTTTCCAAGGAAAATTAAGAGAGAGAAAAGAAGAAAAAGAAATGGAGACCAATATAATATTTGTTTGAAAGGAAACTTACAAAGAAACAAGCACAGATAAGCACAAACATTTTACATGGAAGCTGCAAATAACTCGACCCAATCAAGGATGAAGACATTACAAAAAGGAAAAAAAAAATGTAATCTTCCGACTGTATGAACTAAAAAATACAGGATCAATGGATCTATCATCTAACATATATTTCTCATCTTACATTTCCACCAAGTTCGAACATTACTGCTGCAGTTATTAGTCCCGTACAAATTGGAAGTGCGTTTCTAATACAATTTAATAGCACAACAAGAAATAAGTGACTTTCACATTAACTTGGCCATGGAAGTAATATTATTCTTTTCTGGACAATCTTGAAAGATTTTCAAAAGAGCATCATAAAAACATTACCTGCAAGGTAAGAATGAAAATGGAACACAATGTGCACAAAAAAAAAATAAAATAAAATAATAACTAGCAACCGAACCAAGTTTCTCAAGCAAAGCTTCGGCTTCACATACATGAATAATACCAGAAGAATATTGCCAAACACAGTTCAGTACAGCAGTAAACATGTGCTCCATGACACTGTTAGTGTTATATTGCCGAATTTGGACCAGCAATGGAATAACAAAGGTACAAATATAACCAAGTATAATACTTAACATCCATAAAACATTGGGCAGCTATTTTCCTTAATAATACAAATTTAAAAAATGATAATAATAAACCGAGAGATGGAACGCATATTACCTGGAGCATAAAAGCTCAGCATGCGGTTCGCCTGGTACCTGGCACAGCCAGAAAATACATATAATCAGCTCCATCTATATGGAAAATATGTAAAAAGATAAAAAATAAAAAATAAAAAATAAAAGAGGAAGTTACATATGCTCTACCTTGTTACTTACCAGGGAATAAAGGTGGGTTGATCATTCTGCGTCTTGATAATGTTATCAGGGACTCGCTTGTTGAGGTCACGGAGAATCTCGGCAAGAGGCCTAGTGATACTGGACGACTTATCAAGAGGCACCACATAATTCGAATTAGGGGCCGCTGACTTTTTACTACTGTTGGTACTGCCGTCACCGGACACGGCCAAGACCCTGAGCCCAAGTAAGCGGCCACGAACATTTGGACCACTTTTTATATGTGTCCTTGTTTTCCACGGTACTGTGCACCCCATCACAGGAAAGCGAACCTCAGTCACCGGAGATAGGATTTTAGAGCATTGGATGGCCGCCATTCCACAGTACCCGCTGCCTAATTGTCAAACACAGTGTAAAGTCAGCAACTTTTCTAGTTTTTAGATGATGGGATTTCAAAAATGGTTACTCACTCTCAAGGAAATAAATAGCTCGCTAAAGTTGCCGCTATTTGAGAAATAACTTTTTTTGGCAGCGTGCCGCTATTTGTATTCATGTGCAATTTAGCCGCTAAATCCCGCTAAATCTCCGCTATAGCTCCGCTATAGCTACAGTGCAATAAACGTTTTAGCCCGCTATTTAAAACCTTGCTCACTCTTCTCCATCACATACTTGCCGAACGATAATTTCGGGAGAAACTATCAAGACGAGATCTGATGAAATTTCCTATCTCACAAACTATGACCTATATTCAAAATCCAATACATCGATTTTTTCCTGCGTGCTACTTAACTGGGAAAGCTTGATCAGTGAATGTTTACTCGACTTGAATTAAGATAAAAAAGCAAAAAAAGAAAAAAATCTAATCAGAAATGGTAGATGCCAAACTGTAACATAAAGAACATAATTTTACAACCTACATAACTACAATCAAAACGACTGCAAACATGAATCAGCCCATGATATTCTTAATTTTTTTTGGTAAAAAAACTCAGATATGTATGAACAATCGGAATTCAAAGATCAACAGAAGGAAAAATGCAAAATAGAGAAAACAAAAGAGAAAAGGCTTCTTACCAATGTGCTGATCGAGCAGCGCCGGCACCGGCGACGGCGACGAGTGGAGAGAGAAAGTAGGGTTTGGTCGGGTGAGGGCAGTTGGGGGAGCAGAGAAGGAGAGACCAAACTCTGAACAGTTCTTCTTTTCCCCTTTGAATGTTAGGTTTTTAATTTTTATCTTCCAGACTAACCTGGACTGAATTGCAAGGGACCCATAATTGAGGGACCAAAATGTAATTGCTCACTTCGGGAGGAAAAAAAAACCAAAGCCCTAAAAGTGAAAAACTGAAAACCCTCATTTTCAGCCGCCCATTTATGCAACTCTCGTTTTGGTGCCGCATCCCGCTGTCCATCCGCCGTCCGCCGCCGCCGTACCGGTCAACTGCTCGACGCTTCTTCTTTCCGATGGGAGAGTCCGCCTCCGGCAAGAAGGGAAAGCCCGACTCGAGCTCCGCTCCTCCGGCGTACGCCAAAGACGAAGCGTATCTTCAGACTGTTATCCCCAAACGCATTGAGCTTTTCGAATCCTTGAAAAATCAACAGAACCTCAGTCGTCTCTCGCTTTCGCCTGACCCAATCAAGTAATGGCGGTCGCTTATATTTTTTTTTTTATTAATTATTTTACTTCTTCATTTTCATTGATTAGCTTACAGTTCAATTCTTACTTTGTTGCTTTGGAATTGACCAAATAGGATTACGCTGCCGGACGGGAAGGTGAAGGAAGGCAAGAAATGGAACACAACGCCGTTCGATGTTGCCAAGGAGATATCAAAGAGTTTGGCGTCAAACGCTTTGATATCAAAGGTGGACGGTGTTTTGTGGGACATGAGCCGGCCTTTGGAAGGCGATTGCAAGCTTGAGCTGTTTACCTTTGAAACTGATGAAGGCCGTGATACCTTTTGGCATTCAAGTGCGCACATACTTGGCGAGGTAAAATGTTGCAAGTGTGATGATTTTTTAAGCAAAGATTATGGCTTTTGTTTTAACTGTGATTGACTGTGGGTTGTTTAATTGGTATTGAGTGGTTTCCAGTCACTGGAGCAGGCATATGGGTGTCGATTATGCATTGGGCCGTGCACCACGAGAGGAGAGGTACATTTTTTGCCATTTTTTTTCTTCCTTTCTTCTGGTAATGGGTCTTCTCCTAAATACCCGGTTTATGCTTGTTTTACTTTCTTTGTCTTTCCAAACTGTACATGTTGTGTTATGAAAGTACACTATGTTTCTTTTGCGAACCTTGCGTCATTTGAATTATCTAAGCTTAAGCTTCTTGAGGAAAGATGAAATGGAAGAGGATTCGGAATGAAAAGAACAAAGTGGAATGTTATGTAGTTCTTGCTTGTCTTGTTAATTAAATAAATCCGTGTTGTTGTTTACAAAGTTGAATGTTATGTAATTCTTGCTTGTCTTGTTAATTAAAAATCCTTGTTGTAGTTTAGTGCATTTTAAACGGAAAGAAATATATCATTATTTATACCTAATGAAAGAATCCCAAATTGCCAATTAAATAAATTAGCAAAGGACATGGATTTTTAATGAGAATTCAGTCAATCAAGAAATCTTCATCAGAGTATTAATTATGCTTACTTCTACTTAGTGTTTGTTGTTTTTGTCAACTAGGTTTTGGAGTACTAAAAAACAAATGTAAACATTGCATTTATTACAAGTAAAGAGGAAGAATATAGCAAAATCACCACTCTAAGTACATCTAATATGTTTTTTAGTTGGACCGAACTTTGCTCCATGCCTAACTTAGATGAAGAGAAGGCTTATTGTTTTTGTTGAACTATATCATGAATTTTGTGTCTCCCTTCCTCTTAGTACCTTACTAATTTTATTATGGGATTTGAATTTCTTATTCTTTCAGATGATTTTACATTCTGATTGAACATATTAGTTTAACCTATTGTTCTAAAAATCTTTATGTGCTATTTGTTGAATAGTATAATTGATTTTTCAGGGATTTTATTATGATGCATTTTATGGTGATCTGGGGTTGAACGAGGATCACTTTAAACTGATTGAAGCAGCTGCCAAGAAAGCTGTTGATGTAAGGCTCTTTTGGTTCTTGGAGATTTGATTTGTAGATCTTTGCCTTACCTATCTGATTTCTTTCGCATGTTTTCATATGCATACTTGCCCACTAACATAATTGCTTCAAGATTGCTTTGCTTTAGGAGTTGGCATTTTGTTATTTGTTTTAGTAAAAGGTCATTTCACGTGTTTCAAATTTTCAATCTAATCTTGAGTTTTATGTTGCTGTTACTTGTGCACTAGGAAAAACAACCCTTCGAGCGCATTGAAGTGACAAGGGAACAAGCTCTTGACATGTTTTCAGACAACCAGTTCAAGGTCTTTTAATTTACAATCCTAGTTATATATCTACATTTCAATCTTCATTTATAATGGAACAATATACTTATGTTTGAATCGTTGATGTTCACTTGTATCTGCACCCTCCTTTAGGTTGAAATTATAAAGGATTTACCAGCCGATAAAACAATCACAGTATATAGATGTGGTCCGTTGGTTGATCTTTGTCGTGGACCTCACATTCCCAATACATCTTTTGTGAAAGCATTTAGCTGTTTGAAGGTAATATCTCATTTCCATTGCAGGTAAATATTGAGTCCGTGAGTCTTCATTTCTCACGTTTTAAATTGTGGTATCAGGCATCATCTGCATATTGGCGTGGTAATAAAGACCGTGAAAGTTTGCAAAGAGTCTATGGTATATCATATCCAGATCAAAAACGTCTGAAGGTGACAATCTTTCCATGTCTTCATCCTTCTTGCTTTTGCTTATTATAGATGGCAATTGTTAGTAATGATATTCCCATTCAGCATTATCAGCTATCTTGACTTGCATAATGGTAATCAATGCAGGAATACAAAGCCATGTTGGAAGAAGCCAAAAAATATGACCATAGAGAACTTACTAAAAAACAGGAGCTTTTCTTTTTTCACCCTCTAAGGTAAGAGTTCAAGCTATAATACACTTTATTTTCCAGTTTAATTCATTTCTGACATTAATGGACATATGCGTTTAGCCCGGGAAGTTGTTTCTTCTTACCCCATGGTGCTCGAGTATGCAACAAGTTGTTGGAATTTATTAGAAGTCAGTATTGGAAGAGAGGTTATGAAGAGGTATATTCATTCATTAGTCTTGAAGGCTGTACATGGATATGCCACATAATTGAATCACTTCATTACTACCTATTGCTTGTTTTTATTAGGTGTGGACTCCGAATATGTACAATATGCAGCTGTGGGAAACATCTGGTCATGCAGCAAACTACAAGGAGAATATGTTTGTGTTTGAGGTGAGATCATGGTAGTAAAAGATTGATTTTACCATATAATGTTTCCATAATTCCATTATTAAGTAATAAAGTTGTGGTATTGTACGCATCTTCTAAGTTGAGGGAGCTATCGTTTGAATTTCTTGTTATTTTCTTTTTTCCAGGTAGAGAAACAAGAATTTGGACTCAAGCCAATGAACTGCCCCGGACATTGTCTTATATTTGATCATAGAGTCCGCTCATATAGAGGTGAGCCTTTCCTTAGTGCCTTTAACATCCCTGTGGATGCCATAGACCTTGCACACTCTGTAATTTATTTAGTTTTATATGTAACACAATTCTTGCTATTTTTATTATAGTTGTGAAATCTGTTTACGTGTGTCAAGAAGATTGAGGACACTTTTACGCTATATCTTTAATGTGTGTCTAGTGCCTTTTGCATTGGATTCTTCCTGGCAGTTCATTTTAATAGAACTTGAAAACTGAGTGATCTTATTTGCAGAACTTCCACTCCGCCTGGCTGATTTTGGGGTCTTGCACCGGAATGAAGCAAGTGGTGCACTTACTGGTTTGACTCGTGTCAGGAGATTTCAGCAGGTATACATTTGATCATATCACGAAAAGTAAAAGCATGTGCATCATTTTTTGAAAATCATGAGATTGTTTTCCACTGTTTTTTAAGTTTATTTTACTTTTAAACATGTAGCTAGACAGACCACATGAACATTGTGATTCTGAAGATTTATAATTGCATGCATTAATTTTGTTTCAATTGTTTGTTGCTAATGACATGAGATTTTTTTGGTACAGGATGATGCACATATATTCTGCAGGGAATCCCAGGTAATATGGACTTTCCTGGCCCTATCTGGCTTGTATGGCTTTAGGTGTAGTTCCGTCTTATGTTATCTTCCTCGCTGCAGGTTAAAGATGAAGTGAAGTCTGTGTTGGAATTCATCAGTTATGTGTACAAAGTGTTTGGCTTCACTTTTGACCTAAAGTTATCTACGGTATGGAGATTTAATATACAGTTAATAAGTTACCCAATGTCAATAAGCCATCTGTTTATATTATTGTGCTTCGGTGTCCATCGAAAGAGATAATTATATAAAAAAAGAAACGGTGGATGAGATAACTAAATGAAATTCACCACAGTGGTCTTATGCACATATTCCACCCGGACCACAACTTTATGTACAAACCTTTTGTGGTAATCGTGACGGAAATTGACTGTTAAGAAAGATAAAGCTAATATCTCTTGATGTGTTGCAGAGACCAGAGAAATATCTTGGGGACATAGAAGTATGGGATAAAGCTGAAGCTGCTCTTGCAGAAGCACTAAATGAGTTTGGCAAACCTTGGGAGGTTAGTTAGTTGTACGAGTTAGTACTGCCCCATTGAGATTGTATTTACATTTTATTCTTATTGATGCATAGTTGGAGCAGCTGGTGTAAAACTGACTTCAAATCTTTGATCTTTCTATTAGATAAACGAAGGTGATGGGGCATTCTACGGGCCAAAGATTGACATCAGTGTTTCTGATGCAATGAGAAGAAAATTTCAATGTGCTACTTTGCAGGTTTATTTTCTATTGAGCTTTTATTTTATTAACGTTTTATGAGGGTGTTGTGCCTTCATAAAGAGAGTTCCTCGATAACATAAATTTTTTTACTGTTCCAGCTGGACTTTCAACTCCCTGCTCGTTTCAACTTATCCTACTCAGCAGAAGATGAAACCAAGAGGGAGAGGCCTGTTATGATACACAGAGCTATCCTTGGTTCAGTTGAACGAATGTTTGCAATACTTTTGGAACATTACAAGGGCAAGTGGCCGTTTTGGCTTAGTCCACGCCAAGCAATTGTTTGCCCGGTTTCTGACAAGTCCCAGGCATATGCGCTTGAGGTTGGTTATGAGTTATGACTGCTTTTGTACTTTGAGTGGGAGTCTTTCTCCTAGCTTTGTCATACGATATACAAGGATCACATTTGTTGCCTGAACTTTCTCCTCTTTATCGGGATATCGTGGCATTCAACACCTGTGTAATTTTGCATGCTCGTATTAGTGGAAACTATTTGGTTATGCCGTTTGTTATGACTACACGACTTAGCTAACAGACTTGTTATTGGATATTGCTTAATGAACAAGTACTTGCTTCACAAATGTTTTTCTTACGCTAGTTGCTGAAATTGCTATTGATTGTAGGTTCGGGATCGCATACACGAAGCTGGGTTCTTTGTTGATGTTGACACAACTGATAGAACAATTAACAAAAAGGTGCATTTATGCCCTCTCCCAACACTTTAAGACCTTCTCTATATCATGACTGGTATAATTCTCCATATCTTAGTAGCGCCTTCCTGTTGATCGGTCAAAATGAAAATTCGATTGAAGGGCAGGCTAACCAGAATTTTTTTTAATAAGCAAAATGTCATTTTGAGAAACTCTTTTGCATGTGAGGATGATTTTGGCAGATAACTAATTTAATTAAATTATAATCGGTGGCATTATATGAATATCTGCAGGTACGAGAAGCTCAAATGGCCCAGTACAACTACATATTGGTGGTTGGGGAGAAAGAAGTTGGAACCGGACAGGTAAAAATTACTTACTTTATGATATATATATATACACACACACATATATGTAGTTGGATTTTTTATTTTTTATTTTTTTTCCCCGAGTTTTTAAAGCACTTGTGTTATCGTACGTGAAGGTGGCCGTGAGGGTTAGAGATGGGAATGATGCCACAGCCTTGAGCTTGGAGGATCTGTTGAATCTATTCAAGGGTGATGTTGCAGCTTTTAGGTAGTTGCCTTTCTTTCATACAAACCAAAAGTACGAAATTTTTGCATTGTGATTGATTTTCTTGGATATTGTTACTGAGATTTACGAAATAGACAAACCAGAAAACCATTGAACCGAAAAACGCGATAAGTAGCAGCACGAAAACCTGCCTCTAGAATTTGAATGATGTTCCCCTATATATGAACTGTTTCATTTAGTTGTTGTTTTGTTTTGTTTTGTTTTGTTTTGTTTTGTTTTGTTTTTGTTTTTGTTTTTGTTTTTGTTTTTGTTTTAGTTTTAGTTTTATAATTAGAAGTTGAATTGCATTTTGGACAATATTTTCTATATAATTTCTCCAAATTATGTATATACTTTTAATAATCTTTAAAAGTAAATTGTAGTCAACAGATAATTCCAACTCTAGAATGAAAAAAATGAGTAAATTGAAGTTGACACAAAATTGTAACAAAAGGGTGAAAAAATATGAGGCATGCAATTAGATTTAATTGTTGATAATATGATTTTCTTAGTGCATAATTCCATTTTGATTTCCAAATTGTTGTGAATATACTTGCGAAGTATTCTTTACTCTTTCATTATAATATTATCAAATTTGATGGTTTAGATTTTGTTAATACATAATTTGGCAAAATAAATTAACTCAAGGCACCCTTTATTTAATACAAGCTCAGCATATTCGCATTATTTATAGATATGAGCAAATATCTTAGTAAGTACAAAAAAATGACAATAAACAACGAAAAAAAAAAAACACAAACTATTTCTATGATTGTAAAGGCCAAATGATATTAGATTGAATTTATTTTGACAAAACCATGGCAATAGTTGCAATCACTATTGCAATCCAGTTGAACTTCTCCAAAGAGGTAGCCATAGCTGCATATGCACAAGGTGTAAACAAAGTTAAACTATTATATAAGATGGGGAGATGCTACGATCACCTTACGGAACCATCAGGGTTTGAAAACGTTAGATCAACTACCCCCGACGGTTATATGATGATCTAACGGTTTCAAACCCCGAAGGAATATTTCCGTAACGGGACCGTAGCATTTCCCTATAAGATATATTTCATTACTTTGAAAATTTGATACAGGCTCTTACGAAAATCCCTTTATATTGAAATTTAACTAATTGGTTAGATATATTTCATCACTACTATATATTATAAAAAAAAAATGAGTGAGTCTATTCTTAATTTCTTCTAAATCAATTAAATTCTAATAATATTACACACATTCTTTTGAGTAAATCTATTCTTAGTTTTTTCTAAATCAGTCAATTATAATTACTCAATTCCTTTTCTTTTTCCATAAGTAATTGGAGATTACAACTAAAATTACAATAATCCATAAACCGGTATATTGATACGTATCCCACTAATTATAGTTATTTTAGAATACATATATATATATATATATATCAATACATTATTTGTCAAGAATTAATAAATTGTGTTATCTAATGACTCCATAGCAAAATCGAGACTACATAAATGCTTACCTTGATTAATATTGTTATTATCACTTGGAGGGTTCGTATTTGAAGTAGACCTGCCCGTAATTCCAAGTCTCCGACAAGAGTCCGAATTAACAGCACCTTTAATAATTATCACTTATTATAATCAGCACAATCTATTTAAATGATAGTAAAAAGAAATTGTGTAATATTTACCTAGATGTAATTATCTAGAGGCTAATTAGGAAAAATCACAATCAAGTGGTAGATTTAATCATATTTGTGAGGCTAATGACCTTACAGAAGTTCTTTTATATTTTTCATATAGAGAAAATTCTATTACAAGACCTAACTTTTTGCATTCATTATTAAACTTTTGCATAAATATAATTTATACAATTTTATTTATTTGCTAAAGACATTTTACTAGAGATATTTATTGTTTTTCTATTATAAGTATGTAATATATAAATTACAAAAAAACAAATGTTTTATTCACATAACTATATCATAAAATAAAGCCATATGGTTTACATATTTATGTCAAAAAGTTAATTAAAAAAGTGAGACTTAAATTAAGAATAATTTAAATATAAGTCTTCTATTAAAAAAAAAAAAATTCAGACCTTAAATTAAAAAGATAACTTTGCTTGTATATTATAGTTTTTTCTTTTATTTATTTATTTTTTTTATGTAAATTAATAATCTTACAGTCATTGTAACAGGGAAAGGCAGAGATATTGAGAAGATTAGAGTAGCCCGCATTGCATTGACACGTGTGTGTATAAGTTGAATTCCTTGTGCAGCTTCCTGATCCACAGTACACCCAATTGCAAGCTATACATACAAAATAAATTAATAAATAAATAAGTTAAAATTGTTAAATTAATCAAGATTCTATGCTAATGGTATATGTTGCATATTCTGTATGATTTTACAGTACATCTTTAAAAGGTCTTACAGAAATAAATTGTTTGATTGTAGCCCCGGACCGGTCTGGTTCTTAACATAATTTTCAAGAACCGAACCGGAACCGAAATAAAAAATCGGTTCGGTTAACATCCAAATAACCGCAAAAACCGAAAAAGAACCGAACCGAGTTATAACGGTTCGGTTTTTTCGATTCTTCGGGTAATCGAATAATAAAAAATAACCGACAATAACTGGTTTTGACTCAAGAATCGGTCAAAAAATTGCAACTCATGAACTAAAAGTATCATAAAAAACCGAGAACTGAAATGCGAAAATGAATAAACGAGTATTACATACCAAGAACCGGACTGATTCATATATATACATATATAAAACATGCATAATTCATATATATAGTCGGTTCTTCAGTTAATACACAAACTTTTGGAAAGGAAACTGGAACTGGAACCGATTTTGCAAAAATTGACCAGAACCGAAAAGAAGTCTTTTTTTTTTCTTTTTTTGAATAACCGGACCGAACAGGTTATTTTCTGTTCGGTTCTCCGGTTATCGGGTATAAAATCCGACCCCTATTTGATTGTATGAAATCGGATGGATAAAAATTTGAACCACTCCAATAGCAATATTGGTCAATTTTCTTTTATTAAGGAATAATCTTGCTTAAATATAAATGATACAAAATTTCATTAATAAAGCAATATGTGAGATTTCACAAATTCTTGTATGAGACGGTTTAATCTTAAGCCGGGTCGACCCGTTATACTTTTGTATAAGAAAAAAAATGTATACTTATATTTCAAAATGTCCTAAAAGTTAGGATTAGGAAAATTACGATCAAATGAGAAGTTGTGTGGAGTTGCTGGTACTGGAGGAGGGGCCGGCATGCATGAATACTCCAAGGAACCTACACATAAAAAAAAAAAAAAAGTAAAAAAGAAAAAAAAAATTATAATTTCAGAATATTGAAACAATATATTTACTTTTAAAATAAATTTTGTTACAATACTGCTCTTTTTAGATAATATGGGAGTTTAGTAGAAAGTGTCAAAGAGATTGTGGAGTAAGTACTAAGCAATTAGCATGGAATAAATTATCTTAGTTTCCTCTATTTTATTTTCTTATTAAACTATTTCTCATGCTTTGAACGTTGACCCTCTTGCCTAAATCATAAAATCTTTTTGAAAAAACTTATTAGATTGACTTTATGAAATACAAATAAAAGAAGAAGTTTTTTCTTTTTTTTATTCTTTCTAAAATTCTTTATGAAATACAAATAAAAAAAGAAGTTTTTTCTTTTTTTTTTTTATTCTTTCTAAAATTCATATTATCTTATATGAGTGTTGTGTGTGTATCGTGTTCGTGTTTAAAAGAAAAAGATGGAAATTTGTGTCGATCATCCTCAGAATGAAACACAAAATAACAGTAGAAAATGATTCAATTACAAATTATATCATTTAAAATAAAAAGATGGTACGATCCTACAATTTGGGATGATGCATGGAAGAAACTCTAAGTCTTGCTCGTCGTCATCCTCAAGTCGGGTTCGCCTCCACCCGTCTTCACAATCGCAAGTGAAATTAAAAGGGTGGCCTTGGTCCGCCACACATCTACCCCTTCCACATTCGACTACGTTACATATATTCTCTGCAAAACAATCAAAATTTTTATTAAAACCACGAGTAAACCAAAACTATTTTTAATATAATTATCTAACAATCTCGGGATATAAAATTTCGCACTCTATTGGATAATCGACATGTGTTGGAATACATGATCATAAACATATTAAGCTAAAAATGTATGCTAAAAAAATAGAATTATATTAGGAAAAAAAAAAAAGC